CTGATGACGGAAGCCTGAACGCTTTTGAAACGTCAGGATGGTAAAACAACGGTTCCTGAGGTCGCCTTATCTTCTCATGTATGTTCGGGGATGCGCATCTTTGTTTATAAGAGCAATATATATGTAAAAGCACGCATCCAACATTGCGGGATTCATTGATAACCTGGAACCCCGCAGCAGCGGTAAAAGATCTGCAAAACAGGCGTGCCAATGCTTTAAGCTAATACCTGTGCAGCTAGTGGGTTTATCATGAAATTGAGGGGTTATGCCATACGATCGGTCTTTAATCCATTACTAGCCTCGGTCTTGTTTCTTCATATTTTCATATCTTTTCCATAAGAATATTTGTTAAGAAACTTTAAGTCTGCTTAAAATAATTGTGTTAACTTTTGAAGAAAGCATTAATGCAAAATGCGTTTACCACAAACTTAAAACGTATTTCAAGGTTTTATGGAATATTTGATTTTACTGAGTGCGGAGGCGTTTCTGACTGGTAGTACTGTTAAAAGTACAATTAGGAATCCCTCAAATCTGCACTAATTTCGTAAGATCTAATCCAAGGTCGCGTATTAATTTTTTGAGGAAGGTAAAGGGTCAACTTTGAGACTGCAGTTCATATTAGCAGAAAGCACACGAAAATGCTGCGGGACCCACTGACGAATCGCGTCCCTCATGGGTGCGTCACGCGCAGACATGGGATCAGTGAAACAAGTGTGCCTAGGGTTTTCTCTAGTACCTGCGCTGTCAGCGTGGTAAATTATTCAAAAGTACAAACTGCATTGACGGCTCAGCTAAGGGAAATGTTCCGACGGGCTCACTGGTACCATACTTATCACGTGAAAAAGAACCCTGATCCAATTTGACGGAATTTTGTTACATTTTTTGGAGACAGTCATTTCTCATATGCTTTAAAAATGTATGAAGGTGGCGTGAGATGTTTCGATATTTTGGTAATTTTTTTACATATTGGGTGGTATACTAGTTATTTAACTCGTGTCTTTCCAACACACCTACAGTTTGTCCGGAACTCTTTAATAGAAATAATTCTCATAGGGCTCTAGAATGACACCTAAAGCAGGGCGAGATGAGTGAGTCCCGTTAGCGATCAGTGAGTGTTCATTTACGAGTGCCGAAATCTCCCGATCTAAACTGCCAAAAAAATGAGCAATTGGCTCAATGGCTGGAGCGTTAGACTTCTGATCAAAAGTTTGCGAGTTCGAGCCTCGGGTGGTGCACCAATTGGGGTCGAGTATGACTAGCTGACGATGGCTAATAAGCCAGAAATGGTCATCTTAGTCTCCTTTGTCTTTTTCCGCAATAATATCTGCCTAGACTACTAGCGGCTGAACGGCTGTTGCCGGACCCGAGAAATGCGAGGCAAAGCAGCAGCGACACGAATTACTTTCATTAGCGATCTGTGAACGTTAATTAGTGAGTTTCAGTAATTCACGTCTACAAGATAATTAACGTAAACACATTTATTCAATTAAATCATGCGACACCCATTAGCTTTAACCAAAGAATTAAACTACAAACCGAAAGTAACCTTTCTTGCTTTAAAAATCAATTGGCAAAAGTGCGAGGTATAAAGAAACCCATGATCTATAAGTAAATAAAAAATACGATAAATGAGCTGTACCCTCAGAAGTTTCAAAGAAGTCGACCTTATGAAGAAGAAACATGAAATGGTAATGAATTTCTGTTTCTTACGCCTTTTCCCTTTGTGGAACAGTGCATACTACTCGGAGGTATTCTTCTTCTGTTATGTTGCCATCTCCATTTGCGTCAAAGACAGCTAGAAATTTCTGTAAAAACAAAAGAAATTGTCCATTCATTTTGATGTTTCATGGGCTACTTTGATAATTTTTAAATTTCGTTTACTTATATATTTTGAAACGCCGCCATTTTTTATCGAATAACAACGGAATCCATGTTCTGACAGTTCCAGTGTACAGATAGGACATAAAAATATTCGCACTGAATTTAAATCCCGAAAACCCCAGCTGGTCATTCAAAAAAGGCAAAATATCTTTGACTATAGAGTTTATCGACTGAAGTGTTTTTTTCTAAGTGCACAAACGAAAATAGAGTACCCCAGTTAACTTCACGATGGATATCGAAAAGACCAGCAACTATAGTGTAGAATTTAGTATTATCAGAAAGAAAACTCAAATATGTACCATCTTTACTGTCTTGCAATGCAGATATCAGTTACACTTTAGTTAGCATGTACTTACAGCACTTCAACTTCTTTTTCCGAAAGGAAGTGAAATTCTGTCCACTTAAGCTGATGTAACTTTAAGCACATTAAGTGGGCACCGAAGATTATTTGGCTTCGTTTAAAACACGAAGCGAATCACTTGTGTTGGGATGAAGGAAGACTAGGAAATATAAAACTAAATTTTTGTTTTTTTGAAGTAAGTAAGCTGATAATCTAGGGCTGGATAAATGCTTTATATAGAAATTAAATTACAGTATTGCCAATTTTGAGTAATGTATGATAGCTAGTTTTGGTGCTTTATTATTCTTAGTAATCCATCCAGGATGGCCTTGGGGCGCATGTTGTCTGTGTGTCATGCACTTTAAACAAGTGTCGCACCTATTTTTGGTGTTTTACTTTTGAACTACAAACTCAGACATCCGTAGAAGTGTTGGTGTCAGCCCCACTTTCCCGTATTATATCGCATCTCATCATTAAAACCGAAAGTCTATAAGAAGTTCATCTCCTAAGACTAAAAAGTCAATTATTTAGAAATCTCGACAACCAATATTTTCTAGTAATCCGTCTCTGTCATTACTTTGTAAACCTCCAAGCCTAAAGCGCATAGTTCGTGCAGTGGATTAAATGTATACAGAGCAGTGAAAACTAAAGGATAGTCTGGACTCTGAAACAGAAGAAGTTTAACTTCCCAAGTTCTGTACCACTTGCACACGCTTATGCCAGTACTCCCTAAAACAATTTATCCTGGCCGTGTTATCCTCTGCTGACGAAATAACCGTATGTTTCGCTGTTATGGCAATCATAAATAATACTTTTCCTTGACGTCGCTAAAATTAACGTTCACTGTTAGCCTATTACTCCCTCCTCGATAGATATTTGGATCATAGGTGTCTTTTTGTACCTACCGAGTATTTTTTTCTCCATACTGCTCTGGCTATTAAGATCACTACAACAGGTTAACTAGTGATTGGATTGTGAACGTTAGCAGCTCAACAGGATGCATGGAAACGTTTGCCTAATTGAAATGTGGCAAAGTAAATTGAAGTTGAAATGTTTGAACGGAAAAGCCCTCTTTGCTCAGCTTCTGGCTAGAATAAAGCGTAGACCATATATTGCATAGCACAATACAACCAACTACTCGATGAAATATGAATTACAACACCATTTATAAAGGACCGTTGGGTAATATTTACCTCCATTCCGAGTACAATTTGTTAACATACCACTTATCATGAATAAAACTGTTTTCAAAAGGATTTTGTTGATTTTAACATTTGAGGAATAATAATATCTTCGAGTTAGATCGAGGGCACACTTAGATTTAGGGGTATCTTTACGTTTTTCTGATTAAGCTTTTATTAAATTTCAGTAAGCATATCTTACTTATGACACTGCTTCATAGCGTCTTGTTTAGACACTGATAATGTTCATCAGACAATTAAGAAGCTTGTTTCTTAAACATAAGTTTTAAACAGAGGTGAAAATTGCAACACTTCCGTTAATAATAGAAATCTGCCAAGATCTGCAATTGCATTTCATACCTTGATAAACTTTTTGTCAAATCCCGAAGCACGGAGGCAACTCTTCACTTCTTCTTTGCTCAATATGCCATTTTTGTCGATATCCATTTCCCGAAATTTCCGCAAAAAGTGTTTTCTTTCGTCATCCATAGAAGGTTTGATTGACGGGGAATTTAATGTCCAACAATATAGGAGGGTTATGCCCACAAGACCTGGCCAGAAGATACGCACAGTACCATCTCATCAAAAACGTTGAATGTGACCAACCGACCATGTCATCACACCTTCATTGGTTAACTGGCCGAACACGTAAACCAATCAAATACTCCACCAATCAGGTGCAAGCAAGCACTGGGAAATGGGGAAACTGCAGATGGGTGTGGGAGTGGATAATATTGTCGGATGCTGTTTCTTGGACTTTTCAAGATCACTTTTTTTCGATGGAGAACCGTCTATCTAACAGATATTATTAATTACAATTTCGATCTGTGGGGGCTTTTGCATGGAAATTTCGCGCACAATTTAAAGCTGACTTTGATGTCCTGGATAGCTCTTAGAAACAGCAGTCAATGAAAATAATCAATGTTTGTAAACAGCATCGCATGAATGATAGCAAGCTTTCCTTAAAGATGACTGTGGAGATATTAGCAAACTGATGAAATATTCGCTGAGGATACCAATGAGATTGGTTGCGTCCAGGTGCAAAACCTTTCGATGCAGGCCTACAACGAGATATTTTGCCATATTTGGCCATAGAAGACGTCAGCTTGAATCATTTACTTTTCAGGTGTTCCCTGTGAAAGATGATTCAAACATAGGGGTTACCCTCTTGTGACACGCTGACATTTTACTAAAAGGTCGTGTTATCTTTTCATAAAAGCAGATAAGCTGGATATAATTATCGTAGCAGTGTCGTTTAAGCATCCGATTACAGTACAGAATCACTTTTTTGGTTTTATCATTTGGTTGCTGTTCAGTTTCCTGTGAGAACTCTAAAGAAGCATGCGAAGTAACCAACTCCTAAATGGCAACTAACGAACAGCTTATTCAAATAGCCTGCTCTTCAAATCGTAAGAACAGAGTTGTTAACTGATGACAGCTTCTGAGACGAAAAATGTTCATATATTTCTTTACGCTTTTTTCAGTACTCCAAGACCTTTCATGCAATAAAACAACTGATTGATATATTCGCATTTCGGAATTGGCTTTTGGTAAGTTGCTTACGTCAGGTTTTAATTTATGCGCAAGTTCAGTACCATCCAGTAACTGAAAATAAATTCGTAATTTGCATCAATGAACCTGGTCACGCAACTGACAAAAATAGACTGCCGTGTCCCATTAATATCCAGCAAATAAGAGTGAACGTTCACATGTTCATCATTCGAATAAAAGGGGCCAAGTCTGCCGGTAGATAAAAAAAACATTTTCGTTGCATTTGGTCCACGTAACTAGCCCTAGGCGCTGGCTACAAAGCACGATCAACACCGTTCCACTCCTTAGCGCACCGCTGATTCGCGTGCGTGGTCAGTGTGTACTACACGCAGGATGATCAAGAGATTTGGATGTCCCGAATTCTTGCTAAAGGAGATAGTGGGAAACAGGGATGTTTCTCTGGACTGTAACTGAAGTGCCATTGGGCGTTTTGGACCACGCTTATGATGAAGGATTCCCGACGGAATCCGAAACGTGAGGATAATAATACTCTTGTCCCAGTGGTCGCATCGTCTTCTTCTCAACGCGATTATTTTATATAGAGACCCTTCAAAAAGCTGAGTTTAAATTCACTCACTTTACTTCCTTGCACGTTCCTCCACAATCGATGATTATACATCTGAATATTAGACACAGCCACAATTTATTCAAATCTCATCTTTTTAGTCATCTGCCAAATCTGTAAAACAGGAAAAATGTTATAATTTATAGTTCCCAACCCAACGGTTTCAGCGTCGTGCTACTGATAAGTGATTTCCAGGAAAGAATCACTTATGTACCATTTACATTGTGCAAGATACATTCTTAGAACTGACCTTTACTATCTAATATTTTAAATTGCAAGGCCTCTTGCGAAAGATACCTCTGAAAAATAAAAAAACTCGAAATTTTCAAGCCAGTACAGGTCAATTTTCACCCTAGTGTATTCGATGTATAAGATGTGGGTGTCGTTTTCTGACGTAGCTCTAACATTCTCGTTTCTGATGACTCCATGCTATGCTAATGAACGAGAGCTGGCTGTTTTTCTCCTGATTTGGGACATGACACCAACTAACGACTTTCGTCACCTGGATCAAGGTGCCATCAACTCGAACTAACTAAAGGCGTTGTTGTAAAGCCTAATCTTTAGATGGGCGTTTCGTAATGCGTGATTTCGAGTTACCACGGCCTCAGTTATCTTTTCAAATGACTTATCTCTGGTTATATTTTGGAAAAAAAATGTTTAAATATAAATCTGACGTGTAAAAGACTTACCACCCTTACGAAACGTAGACCAGCGGTGAACGTCAATCTAATAAATATGGCCCATTTTGTATTAAAAACATCGTCATACCTACTTTTTATTCCTCAGAATATAAAATTTGCTAGGATAGAGCAATTATAAAGTTATTGTTTTTGTTATTGTTAAATAACTAAACCTTTCATTTAGTTTAAAAATCCACTGGCGCCAAAGCTGCTTAATAGGTGTGCACTGTTAAGGGGGATAGCTAACAATCAAAAAATTAATTTATCAGTTAAAGAGTGCTCTCATAGTCTTTGCCAAATCAGCTGCTCAGGATCGAAAATAATTACTCAAATAGAGTAGTTTCTTCAACACATCTTAATTTGAAATAAGCTGTTCCCCTTCAAATCCAATGTAAGAAACATTATGCACCTATGCTTCTGACTACGGGATGTGAATGGCATGAATTCGTTTATAGAAAATATGTTGCGCTTAAGAAGTCAAGAAAAGATCACATAGCCTCAATCCCCAGGAAGAGTGCTTGTTAAGAACATGACTTGTGGTTGATAAAACAGTACTACCAAACTCTTACAACTACGTCTGTTATGGCTTTGGTTGCAAATATATAACAACCTTGAATACTTTCCAAATACAGAGTGCGAGTCAGCCTTAAACGATATGCATGTAGGACATAAAGGATCACTTTCTGAAAATAAATTGTCGTTTTGATATTTAGCTGTATTTTACCAGCAGACATTTGCTGCTATCCCGAATAGCCCCTATTACCCCAAAAACACTACTGCTTATAAAGAAAAAGACGTCATCTGCTTATTTATCGTAAGAAGGTTTTTTACACTGGTAGCTCAATCCAAACTGTATATTTATTCTTGCTTTTGCTTATAAACTGATAGTAAGTACATATACTACTATAATACATATTGAAATCCTGAGAGAGTGCCCAGGAAAGACCGCTTATAAACGGCCATAAAAATGGCAAAAAGACGTTCTTGCAACTTGCCCTACTGCTTCTGGACTATCCGTATTGATTGCAATCACTACCGGACGCAATGACCTTTACAATCCGACCGACCTCGTTAACTAGCAGCAAAAGGAAAACATATTCGTGTTCAGACAAATGCGACCATTTCGTCCCCCTGTTATAGGAAGCACCACTGGGACACAGGTTCCTCCAATTTTCTGCCAAAAAATCGTCAGCGTGTCAATATAACATGTGATCGCTGGAAAAAGAACTTAATTCATTTGAAACCGGTCCTAAATACTGAGCGACTTCAGTGGCATGTGAACCAACGCCAACAAGTAGAAGGCCTTTGTACAGTCAACGTTCTGGTCCACGAATCTACAAGGCTGCACTGAGATACCTAAGGTTAATCATACTTTGGATTCATGATCGGGGCCATCAACAGAGCCAGCATCAATTCAATTTCTTGCCCGCGCGCGGTTTGAAATTTTTAAGCAGAGGCGTGTCAAAA